CAACTCAGTGACATATTAAGCTCTAGGTATACATATATAAGATGTTAAAAAAAATGGAAATATGTGCTTTTTGAGTGTATGTCCTTATTGTGCCCACCTGTGCCCCTGCACACTCATGCAATTTCTATTCTTCCAGGTGCGAAGGATGCAGGATCTCTTATGAAAGTGAGCCGTGCTGGGAGAATGGATGGTGTGTGGCTGTGTCGCTGATTGCAAGAATCGAGCTCCCTAACAGAGATGGAGAGAAGGCAGGGAGCAAATCTGAATACTGCAGACTCTCCAAATGTTGCTCCCTCCACTCAGATGACTCTTCCTGGAACTGCTTTGCAAGGATAGCTATTTCTTCCTTCTTCAAGTCTCAGCTTAAAAGTCACTTTGTACAAGAGGCCCGCTGGACAACTCCACCTCAAGTAGCTCCTCACTGCCCAAACACACACAAACACTCTCATTTCATCTCAGCTTCTTGTTTGTTTCCTTCAAGGTGTTTCACATTTGTAGTTGTTTTATTTATCAAAGTACAGTGGTTACTTTAAAATCTCTCCCCTTTTTAGAAAGTTCATGAGGCAAGGAACCTAATAGTTTTGTTCACCACTCAATCTGCAGCACGTGGCACAGTACCTGGCACAAAACTGTGCTAAATAAATATTTTAAAACCATCAAACTGAACGTAAGCATCCAGTCAAGAGCTATTACTCCTTCTGTAGGTTGATTATACTCTCTCCCATCTGTGCTTGAAGCATTTATCATAATATATTGCAATTATTTGTTTACTTTTCTATCACAACAAAAAAACATGAGCTACTCAACAGGAAGAATGCTGCCTTATTTATGTCTGTGCCTTCAGTACCTGGCACATAATACATGCTCAAAGTATTGACTGGTTTACAAAAAATGCCTCCACATTTTTTTGTTTCGCTTACTGGTGATCATTACCATACATTCCCTTTGGTTTTAAATGGGTGGCAGCCCCAGCGCCTCTGGCTCAATCTGTTACCAAGAGGATGGAAATGTAAAAACAGAATGACAGAAGACAAAGTTATTACAGAGTGACTATGAAGGAGCATGTTACGGATGAAAATAAGGAAAGGATTACAGGAAAAGTTCAGAAAGGGCTGAGTAGATTAAAGACAGCCAGAAAAGCCAAGTGGAGGGGAAAACGGACAGGTGAGTCCAATACGGAGCCCTGTACCTGACCAGGAGACAGAACAGAGCGATGGGAAAGGACAAGCCTCATCCCACTATGGCAGAAACCACTGTACAGAAGACACCTAAAGGAAAACAAGTCAACTGTGCACAGAGAAATTAACTGCAGAGGGTCTTCTTAACAGCACATTTTGTTCATAAATACCTGTTTCAGGACAATTAGGGTGACTCACACAATTATTTAATTTACACCTTTATTGACATTTTAATTATCTGTTGACTTTGTTTTAATGGAACTTCCAACATCTAAGCACTTCCCAGGCCCTAGGAAAGTCTGAGACAACTTGACAGGAATTACAAAGAACCTCTAATATTTCCCTAGGATGGAGGCTAGTGGTTGGAGAAGGAGGGCAGGGGAAGCAGAGGCTTCAGGAATTCCTCAGTGAGGTCAGAGCCTTGGATAGAGCTTCCCCTTGCTTCTATAGCATAACATCACTATGTGTAAGTCGTATTATAAATATTTTCTTCCAATGATACTCTGCTAAGAATGTGGAAAAATAAGGAATCTTAACTATTTAAAATAAATACTTCAACTGATGGAACAGTTTCAGTTAATATAAAAAA